ATCTATATATATATATACTGTATGTATATATATATAGAGAGAGAGAGATACACACGTGTGTATGTGTGTGTATGTGTAGGTCAGGACATAAGGCTATGGTCTTCTTGCCAGCCATCAAGGTCCTAGCATGTGTCAGACATCGGTATGGTGTAGTTCTTCATTTTTCCCCAATATAAGACTGATGGGTGGTGATCAGTTCATAACAGAGACGTGAACACTGATAATTCTACAAAGTATTATATTTGCAGCATCCCCAGACTGTCACTTGGCTGTTCTCATATAACTGTCACTTAGAATCATATCTTGGTTTTTTTAGCTACGGCTGACCTTTTCAGCTTCTCTCCCCTCTGTTCACACATCCCCAATTCCCACAGCTACTGATTTGTAAGGGAAGACGATATTTTCCCCAAACTGCTTTACAGCAACCGGGATGACTAGAGAACATGTTTGTTAAATGGCTGTGACATTTCTTTTCTGGATCTGTCTGGGTAGCTAGCGAGTTTCATATCCAATAAAGCAGCTTATAGCAGAAAAGTGCCAATAAATTACCTTCATGCATGTATTATGAATTTTCATTGTGGACAACTAGGCATGTAAAGAGTACCGTGAGACAGAATAATCAGATTTCCTATAGATGACAGAGATTCCCCTCTCCATTGTGTGTTATTTTTATGCGAATATTACTAAGTAGACGGCAGTTTCTCCCCAAGCTAGGCTTTAGGCTAAAACTAGATTTGAATCATGCATGCTAACTAGTCAAAAAAAAAAAGGGGGGGGGGATATTTAATTAAAAAAATTACATATATAATAAATTATATATATATATATATATATATTATATATATATCTATGTAAATGTGTAATGCCATACATCGTTCCCCAGGCCTGCCAATGTCACGTCAACTGGTCATCAGGTAGCGGAGCCTCCATCATGGCTATAGGATACAAGATACCTTGTCACTGAACTTCTCCTTAACCGTAATTAAAATCACTGGACTTTCGAGCAAGCCTGTTCACTTTCTGTAAGCAGGATATTTGTGTCCTATAGCCGCCGCGAGAATATAGTTCTGATCAAGTCAACGTGCTGTCATACCACATGTCACTTTGCTGGTGGTCTTCTCAGCTGTAATGCTAAATCTTGATATAAGGTAACGTGATATAAAAAGGATTGTCCAATGGTAAACTGGTGCTGGGTCTCGTTGATAAAAGGTTTCATACCTACACAGAGTCTTCCAAATAGATAAAGGGTGTCACTTCCTCGAGTACCTCTCTTTAACTAGAACTTGGGTTTGGAAGTAAAGTACACCTGGAACGTGGTATTAGAAGAACACTACACCTGGAACTTGAGTTTGGAATAAATCTACTCCTGGAACTTGGATTGGGAATTAAACCTCACCTAGAACCTGGGTTGGGAAGCAAGCTTCATCTGGACCTTGGGTTGGGGCGTAAACTACACTTAGAACTGGGTTTAGACGAACACTACACCTGGAATTTGGGTTGGGAAGTAAACTACACCAGGACACTGAGTTGGGACGTAGACTTCACCGGGACCTTGAGCTGGGAAGTAAACTACACCAGGACACTGAGTTGGGACGTAGACTTCACCGGGACCTTGAGCTGGGAAGTAAACTACACATGGACACTGAGCTGGGAAATAGACTTTACCTGGACTTTGAATTGGGTCTGTAAATTACAACTGGACCTAAAATTGGGAAGTAAACTACACCTGGACCTTGAATTGGGAAGTAAACTATACCTGGACCTTGAATTGGGAAGTAAACTACACCTGGAACTTGAATTGGGAAGCAAATTACACCTGGAACTTGAATTGGGAAGTAAACTACACATGAAACTTGAATTGGGAAGTAAACTACACCTGGAACTTGAATTGGGAAGTAAACTACACCTGGAACTTGAATTGGGAAGTAAACTACACCTGGAACTTGAATTGGAAAGTAAACTACACCTGGAACTTGAATTGGAAAGTAAACTACACCTGGAACTTGAATTGGGAAGTAAACTACACCTGGAACTTGAATTGGGAAGTAAACTACACCTGGAACTTGAATTGGAAAGTAAACTACACCTGGAACTTGAATTGGAAAGTAAACTACACCTGGAACTTGAATTGGGAAGTAAATTACACCTGGAACTTAAATTGGGAAGTAAACTACACCTGGAACTTGAAATGGAAAGTAAACTACACCTGGAACTTGAATTGGGAAGTAAACTACACCTGGAACCTGAAATGGGAAGTAAACTACACCTGGAACCTGAAATGGGAAGTAAACTACACCTGGAACTTGAATTGGGAAGTACACTATACCTGGAACTTGAATTGGGAAGTAAACTACACCTGGACCTTGAATTGGGAAGTAAACTACACCTGGAACTTGAATTGGGAAGTAAACTACACCTGGATTTTGAGTTGGAAAATAAACACCTGGACTTTGGGTCGGTAAGTTAGCTGCACCTTAAAGTTTGGTCGGAAAGTGTTCCACTAAAGTAATAACACCATTCTAAAACAAAGGCTTTTCAGTTCCAGTACTGAGAAATGACTAAGTAAAGCTGGCAATAGATTTTTGCAATAGGTGGCGGAGCCAAGAAGTGGAGTGTGAACTTTGGTCTTACCTGCCAATCTCAGCGCAGACATTCTTTGGAACTCAGGTTCCTGGAGCCATTTCCACATCCTCCTGAATGTCTCCCGGCCCGACTTAAGTTTACTCCAAGGTTTTGGATTCCTCAGAAGATCAGACAGAGTACCCTGAGACCTGCACAGGATTCTTTGAGCAAAGATAGCTTGCGGTATGCTATACCTCTTCAGTTCTGCTGTGATCCTTTGAGCAACCTCTTTGGTATTAATCTCCTCCACTTGACCATTGCCACCGGCTTGCGACCCAGAACTTGAGGCTTGCCTGTCCCTTTCACCAAGGATTGAGCCATTAGACGATGCATGGTGGTGTCCATGTGGATGCATTCCATTTAAAGGGGCCATCATGCCGGCCGCAGGAGTGCCGAGGCTCCTTGTCAGATGGTCCTCACTCCTAGACAGCATGGCAGCATGCGAGTCGAACCCGTTTGGTGATAACATTTTATCATTAGTTAAATGTCCACCTGGACCATATGGGCCTAGTGACTGTTGTGAGTTGTGCAAAGTACCTAGGCCATTGGAAAGGGGGGAGAGTGGTTGTCCCATGGTTGTCATATCCTTTGGATAGTGACTGTATATGTTACCCATCGATGCCAACCCCCTGTCATCCCTCATCAAGGTGAAACTTCCACTTACGTTGCCAGTTAGTCTTTGATGATGGTGATGATGGTGGTGGTGGTGGTGCGGGTGGTGGAACTTGTCGGACACTGTGGAGATGGGTGGCAGGTGCTGAAGGGGAGTCAACGTGGTGTAGGTGCTGCTGAGGCTCATGCCTGATGGAGATTCGCAGGACATGTTCATAGCAGGATGCAGAGGACCTGCCAAGGTATGCTCGGTTCTGTACTCCCCACCATCAAGAATGGAAGCCATACTTGTCACCATAGCGGGTCGGCCATGAGAAACCAGATTCCTGTGGGAAGCTTGTCTACTGTGTGTGGAGCCCATTAAATCGCCAGCTTGGGAATGGGATACACCATGTATGTTCCCTAAATTCTCCATTGTAAGTTCCATCTTTCTCGCAGGTTTGCTTGGCTATACCCCCTCCTCCTCCTTTCCTTTCTTCTCCTTTTGCTTTCCAGGCTAATTCAGATTCAAAGCTTTGCCATCGATTACCTTCCCCTTTGCAGTCAATCCCGCATGACTTGATGAGCTCTCTGCTCCTCTCCTTTTCTCCCTCTCTCTTCTCCCCCCCTCCTTCCTAGGGATACAATAGCTATGTGAGATGGCTGGTTGGCTGGCTGGCTTGATGGTCCTCTCTTTCCCCAAGTGATGGTGCTGGTCCTGGCTTTGTGGTGTGCCTAGTGCTGAAAAGCTGCAGATAATATTGGAGCTCAGACTCTCAGACCTCCTGCCAGCCTCAGTCTCATAGCCAGCACAGCCTGACGTCAGCATCCCTCTGCTCATCGATAAGTACCTTTCTTCATTCAACCCCTGGTCACTACACAGTGCAGGGACCTGGGACAAGGCATTGTTCTCAGCACAGCCAGCCAGCCTGTTCACTCTCTGCCATCACAGCACATTAAAATGAAAGGAAAATTGGATACTAGTAGTAAAAGATAAAAATCTCATACATTGCATCTTGCCAGTCCTTAGATGTGATGGCTGCATTAGTTTTCTCTTTTTTTTTAAGGTTTTTTTCCTGTATTTTCACCTAACCACACTTCCCTATTATGGTGGCCATACATGCTTCAGTAAATGATTGATTTCCTTTTCGATCAATCTCTCCCGATAGAGATAATTGAACTGTAGTCGACAACCCAATCGATTGACCTACCATCAGCGGGGAAGTGGATTTCGATTGATGGTTGGAAGATATGATCGTACGTTACCGATCATATTTCTGTTTCCACCGAGGACACTCATAATCGGATCGATAGAAATATGATTGAATTGATATGAGGGCTGCCAATCAATGCAAAAAGACTGCTAATTTTCTGCTCCAATAGTTTTTATTGTTATTAAAAGTGGTATTAAAGGTTCAGATTTAAAAAAAACAAACAAACAAATGTGTTATACTTACCTGCTCTCACACAGAGCAAGCTGATGCCTTTTTCTCCAGTCCCCCTTTGGCACTCCTGGCTCCTCCCCCTTGACTAGTGCCACCAATAGCAAGCTGATTGCTATGGGGGCACTGGTGCATGCTCACTCGCGAGCCCGGATCTATGTGTCTATAAGACATATAGAGCCGCAGCTCAAACCCTGCCCCCTCTCTCTTCTTATTGTCTCACTGGCTTTGATTGACAGCAGTGGGAGCCAATGACTCCTGCTGCTGTCTCAGCCAATGAGGAGAAGGAGTCTCGGGACAGCCGAGAATCTTGTAAAGATCGCTCGATCGAGAGGGGGCTCAGGTAAATATTAGGGGGGATGTGGGTGGAGCAGCACACAGGTAAAAAACCTTCTGCCTTTACAACCACTTTAAGTTTGATATCAATAAAGGCACAATAAGAATAAGGTGTGTACACTGTTGTATAAGCCACATTAAAGCAGTATGAAACCTAAAACCAAAAATGTAATATATTGCAGCTTGCCAATCATTAGATGTGGTGGCTGCATTAGTTTTTTTTTTTTAAGGCTCTTTTCCTCTGTTTTTACCTGGCGATCTGACCGGTAACATACCGCCTGTATTAGAAAGCCTCCACTCTGGATGAAGGAGAACAGGGGGCACCTTTGGACAGCAGCATTGTCAGTCTTGGGGATGGGAAGTGGTAGATGGACTAGTAGATTTAAATACGCTAACAAAGTGAAGCCAAAGTCCAGCTAATACTTTATAACCAGTTACAGCAAACAGTTGTATCCTTTTGGGATAAAGATGTTATATAAATAAATAAATGATGATCATTGTAAGCACCCCTCCCAGTGTTAAATGGTTTTTCTCATCCATGTAACTACTACATCTGCAGGAGAACTTGTTCTTTTGAAAAACATCAGACTTACTGGCCAGATCACCTGGTGTAAATAGAAGAAATAAAGCCTAAAAAAGAAAACTAATGCAGTAACCACATCTAAGAATTGGTAAGCTGCAATATAATACATTTTTGTTTTTGTGTTTATTATTGCTTTAAGAACAATTGTTAACATAAGGCTTGTCATTTACAACAAGAAATGCTCTTATGTGGACGGATGTGTGTTGTAGCATCCCAAACTTTGGGAGTTATTTACTAAAACTGGTCAGTGCAAAATCTGGTGCAGCTTTGCGTCAGCTTCCAGGTTTTATTTCCAATGTTTAATTGAACAAGCTGAGGTTAGAAGCTGATTGGGTACCATGCATAGCTGCACCAGTTTTTTAGCAAATCTACCCCAGTGTTTTCATACCAGAAAACAAGATCACGCCTTCCACAATGGAAGTCACATGTTGCGTAACAACTGATGATTTTCCACCCTGGGAGATCGAAAAATCAAAAACAAGTCTAAGGGCTCGTTCACACTTGACTGTTTTACCAATGCTTGCCAAACGCCCCTATAGTGTTTGGCAAGCGTTGGTCCGGCGTTTGTGGAGTGTTTTTTAACGCTCGGCAAACGCCGTATGCACAGTTTAGCGGCGGTTGCTAGGCGTTTGCCGATCGTTAACAACGCCCCACAAATGCCTATAATGAAGTTTGAATGGTGTTACCGCTCCGCAAATGCCCTGCAACCGCCTCGCAACCGCAAACGCCGGCCGGGCATTTGCGGAGCGGCACCATAGACTAGAATAGGAGGCTTCAACGCCTCCTGACTCGACCAGAGGCGTTCGTTTTGCCGCGACGCTAATGCTCCCGTTAAAACAGCACCATGTGCTGCAATGTGCAGAATTGTCTGAGGCATTTGGGAAGCGGTAAAAACGCTTCCCAAACACCTCTCTGCCGCCTGCACACAACGCCAGTGTGAACGTAGCCTAATGGTGGCCATACACATTTTGATAAATCGATCTCTCCTGATAGAAATAATTGATCTATAGTCGACAACCAAATCCATCAATATGCCACATGCAGGGAGGTAGATTTTGATCAATAGTTTAAAGATACAACCGTAAATTATGGATTGCATATATATTTCCATCATGCAAACTCATAATCTGATTGATTACAATATGGCTGAATTCCTGACCAAAGTATCTCAGTGCTGACGATCAGTGCAAACAATCAATAATTTTCCACCCCGGCAGATCTTTGCAAAAATTAGTCTAAATCAATCAGAAGGGAAGCTATAGCTATTTGCTTGTTTGCTGATTCAGTCGTTTTGATCAAATTGAAAACTGGTTGGATAATAAAATTGAAGCATGTGTGACCACCATTAAGGTGTCTCCTCCCTGGATGGAGAAGCAATGGACACACCTATGGACAGCAGTATTGTCAGCCTTGGAAGAGAGTAGTGTTAGGGTCAACATACAATTTTACTTACAATTTTAGAAAACAAATATATAATATGAGGAGCCAGCTAATAAAGCAAATCGCTCTTTACCCAATCAGGCACGCCTTTACACTACACAGTTGTTGGTAGTTCTAAAGGAGATTGTACAATCAGATTGTATCATGTATGGTGTATCATGGGATGCACTAGCAGATTTAGATGAACTTGACTAACAAATTCAAGCCAAACTCCAGCTAACACTTTAGGCAGTTACAGCAGCAGTGTTTTTTTCTCTCTGGGATAAAGGTTTTACTTCTGGTTCACATCTGTGCGGGTGGTGCCGCTGTGGAACCCACACAAATCCCTGCAGCCGCACCACCCACACAGAGGAATGTGGGACCAGCAGTCAGGTGCCATAAATTCTAATGGCACATCGCCCGCACTGGAAATTGCAACCGTACCGGGAACCTTGGTTCCCATGTGGGCTGCGATTTCCCAAGTAATGCAAGGATTTCTTCCTTGCGTGTCCTGGGGCACATGAGTCCATTAAAATGAATGGGCTCTCATGCCTGCGCAAATCGTGGCCCACATGGCCGCACAGACGTGAACCAGGGGTTACATGAATATGTAAAAGCTGATCATTGTAAGCACCCCTATCAGTGGTAAATGGTTTGTCTAAACTCTCTAACTGCCACCTTTGTTGGACAGCTTTTTCTGTTAAAGTAAGTTGAAAAATAGACTTGCTTGCAGGATCACCAGGTAAAAATAAAGGAAACAAGCCTAAAAAAAGAAAACTAATGCAGCCACTACATTTAAGATTTGGTAAGCTGACATTGAAGATAGCTTTGTTCAATACCGCTTTAAGGTGTGTTAAAATTCTGATGCCACCCATACAAATGAGCTAATGGTCATAGAAGGAAATTATAAGGGGGTAGATTTAGTAAAACTGGAGACAGAATTTGGTGCAGCTGTGCATTAAAGCCAATCAGCTTCTAATTTCAGCTTTTTCAATTAACCTTTGACAATAAAACCTGGAAGCTGATTGGTTTTGATGCACAAGATTTTGCACTCTCCAGCTTTAGTAAATCTACCCCAGTATGTCTAGAAGTCCACAGATGGTAAGCCTTCTTCCTGAGATGAGACATGCATGATGTCTGCATAGCCAACATAGGCAGTAGCCTAGAGTGACAAGGCTGCCAGGGGTGGCATACAGTTTGCTATAGTCACACTGTTGAATGGGTTCAGAAACAAACTTCTAGTCAGAGGCGGACTGACCATTTGGAAACTCAGGCACTGTCCGAGGGCCCGGGGCCAGTAGGGGGCCCCATGAGATGCCCTGGTACCTTTTTCATAGGCTTTTTTGAGTTGGGCAAGGACACAGGAGCCCCATGATCCCCTATTGCCCGGGGGCCCCATGAGTTGTCAGTCCGCCCCTGCTGCTAGCAGCATAGGCCACGCTCTTCAAGCTGTCAGCTTTACCAATGCAGCATGGGCACACTGTCTTTTACTGCCTCACTGCTTGAAAGTGTATTTCCACGTTTGCAGGCAATTTGCAA